AAAACCGTTGTTCACCAAGATCTGTTTTGATTCGTGTCAATTCTGAATGTAGTCCTGTCCAATCAGGGGAGCGCTTAAATGCTCGTCGAAGAAAGGACCTTATGAGGCTTATTTTGTAGCGTCGAGGACACTCACTGTCAGCATTTAAGCACCGTCCGTTGTTAGTCTGTTTTCGGTATACAGTCGTTTTGAATTGTTGTCCTTCGACAGCTACGTCAAGAAAGGGTATTACGTTTTGCACATTTTGCTCTGTTGTGAATTTTAAGCCAGACCGTTCTTCAAAGGTGTTTTTGAGATGACCTAGTTGGTCAATGTCCCTAACTTCTACAAAGATGTCGTCTACGTTGCGGCAGTAAATGTCCGGTCTTATGTGGTCCTTTTGTAGTATGTCGGTTTCTACGTGTCCCATAAAGAAATTAGCGAATAGAGGTCCTAGAGGTGAGCCCATTGCAACACCCTAAATTTGGCAATACATTCGTGCATCAGGCCCGCGGAAAGGAACTTCCAACGTGCAGGCTTTTAGTAATTGTTCAAGAAGGCGCCTTGATATTTTGAGAGGAGGAATTTCAGGATGATTGTAGACGCGGTCAAGGATGATGGATATGGTTCTTTCAATAGGCACGTTTGTAAATAGATTTTCAACATCTAGAGAGGCTAGTAGGCCCTTAGGTTGACGAGATCGCGCTATATCAATAAACTCATCCGTTGATGACAAGCTTTAAGACATGGGAAGATATGGGGACAGAAGACCATTGAGACGTTTTGCAATTCTATAGGTTGGTGAAGGGATCTGTGAGATTATTGGACGAAGGGGGTTGCCGTTTTTGTGAGTTTTCACAAACCCATAAGCATAGCCAGGCGCAAATTCACCCGTTATCTTGGAAAAGTGTATGCCATCAACAGCGGCATTGGCAGCAATGATTAGTTTGTTAAGCTTGGTCTTGAGTTTGTCTGTTAGATCTTTTGTGATGCGCCGGAACTTCTTGTCGTCGTTCAAGATGCAGTTTAGTTTCTTATGATATTCCTTTTTGTCAAGTATTACGTAGAGTGATGATTTGTCCGCTCGCCGAATGATGATGTCGTCTTTTTCTCGAAGTTCCCTTGCCGCCGTCCTGAGTTCTTGCGTGAATATCTTGCTCCTATCATTTCCACGCTTTTTCGTGCTCTCTCCTAGGAAGCTGTTCTTTAGATCCTTGTCCACGGTAACCTTTTTCTCTTTTTCCAAATTCAAGATATCCTGGTAAAGACTTTCTAGTTCTACTTTCTTCTTAAGTTTGTCATATTTCGACAACACATGGCAATTAAGTCCAAGATTAAGCACCTCTTTTTGTTCCTCAGTAAGATCATGTTGAGATAAATTGATGTATCCGTCGGCAGTTTCCGGTAATACTATATGTCCACCATGGAGCCTTGAGAGCTTTTTCACGATTCTGTTTCTAGTAAGACGTCTAGCGTCACATTCAATCACGTCGAGTTCATCAAGTACTTTTTGTTTAAGTTCATGTTCAGGGCAATGTACCTGTAGCTCTTGTTCTAAAACTTTTCTCTTTTTCTTCAGGATTTCACAGGCCGTCTTCTTTTGCTGCAGTTAGTAATTCACAAGTTGTTCTCTATACCTTTTGGTAAAACCCTCTTTCTTAACTGCCTGGTCATGTAGCTTTTTGTCGGAATATTTTGACAGAATTATTTCTTTGATACATGTTTGATTACAAATAACTGCTGACTCAGCATTGACGAGCTTTTTGATGCATCGTTCTAGTTTCCGGGCCTTTGACTTTGCGTCATCACTTAGATTACAGATGGTTCGCACAAAATTACTCATATATTCATCACTCCTTCCATTCTAACGCTTCGAGATCTTATCTCATCTTCGGAGAAGACTAAATTGCACAAGAAATAAGTTTTGAGTTTTAAAGTATGAAAAATTGTGCACTACTGTTGGAAAACATCTTTTGGTACGGAGAACATAAATGAAGCATAACTAATTGAAGTAAGACGGATTGCTATTTTCATCTTCATACATGTAAGGAACACTCATAATGGGAACATCACAAAGACACAATGGGAACACTATTGTCACAATCACATCAGAAGTGCTCACCGCCCCCCACCTAGTAGCTCAAGAGTTCTGCAAGAATTTGTCTGTCTGTTTAAGGCCGGAGAGAGTTCGTTAATGAATATGCTTTCCCAAATTTGAAGGCATCTTCTGTCACTGCACGTCCGTAAAATGTCAGTCCTGTCTGTCAGTTGTTGTCGTGTCAATGTCATGTCGTATTCCTGTCGCATGTGGTCCAGACGTGCCCCGTCACGAAAGTGCATTGTCAGGCGTTGTGAGAGTGTCGTTGTGGTCACACCCATGTAGGGTATGGGACGAAGTTTGCAGCCTTCGATGTTGCATTGGAATTGATACACTACATTGGTGCATTTCAGTTTGTCGGGTTTGTCTGGGCTGTTTCTCATAAGAAAGTTCGATATTTTATTATTACATTAGTAAATGGCAATGTCTATTTTGTGGTCGTTTTTTCCTTTAACATGTTGATAGATAATTTCCCGTAAAGCTTTTTCGTCCTGTTTGTGAGCAGATGTCATTTGATTTTGATAATACAGTTTGACAGTCGGTTGGATGTCTTGCCTTGGTTTGCTGTCAAAGTGTCTTGTCATATGTCGTTGTGTCTCGTTTTCAATGTCAGAATTTGAAAAACCGTTGTTCACCAAGATCTGTTTGATTTGTGTCAATTCTGAATGTAGTCCTCTCCAATCAGAGCAGTGCTTAAATGCTCGTCGAAGAAAGGACCTTATGACGCTAATTTTGTAGCGTCGAGGACACTCACTGTTAGCATTTATTTTGCAGTAAATTTGTGCGAACCATCTTTAATCTATATATATATATATATATATATATATATATATATATATATATATATATATATGAGTACACATATGATATTCAACTGGAGAATTTCCCGTACTCATTTCCCTTTCCCGCGTCTTAATGTTGACAGAATAGTGAGATACTGCATAATCACGCGGTGTAGATATTCTACATAACAGCTGACTGGACGCCATCGCTTGAATTAGGTCCGATATGTTTCGCCCTTAGATTACTCTAATATTCCATTTGATGTCCATTGTGGACATTGCCCCAGACTATGGAAACCATTGCAAAACACAGATGACATCATTATCAGCGGTACACTGGCACGGTGCTCAGTCATAACGGTACCACGACGAGCTTTTGCCGCCTAGCTCTCTACCTGACGTGGACGGGACAGGCTGCACGCATATGTGAAAAAGCTGCGTCTATTTGACGTCAGCACTTGCCTGGATACCCGCACGTCAGCACTGCGGTGCCGGAAATGGGTGCAGGAGGACTGCAGCCCCGCGGTCGGTGGCAATGGTCGCCACAAAACTGCTGGGGGTGGGCGATACGCTGATAAAACTGGTCGAGGGGGTCGTAGACTGCAATAGGGCTGTCTGGGGAGGCCGTTGCATGACGCGTCACAGCTTACGTTGAAGGCGAACTAGCAGGCTTAACGGGCGTTAATGGCGGATCAGACGTTAGAGCTCGTCGTGGTGAAGATACGCCCGCTGCAGTACTGGCAGCGCAGGCCGGTTATCACAAGTGGTGACGGAAACCAGTGGTGCACACCGCTAGTGTTGGTGATGGGCACGCTGCCACAGTTAGTGTTGGTGACGGGTCCCTATCACACTTGGTGTAGGTGGTGAGCACGCTGCCACAGTTGGCGTTGATGACTGGCCAGCTACCACAGTTGATGTAGGTGACCAGCCTGGCACCGTACCGAAAGATCCTGCAAGAACCAAGACCTTGCATTACATTATGCCAAGAGATTCAGTAAGAACCAAGAGCTAGACTGGTACATGTTGGAGTTCGGCAAGGACCAAGATAAAGCGGAGGATAAAGCTGAGGTATGGTGGTCCCGATATGGCCTCAGCAGTCACAAACACAGGTGATCGCAAGCTTCCATGACAGTATCTTAGCAAAAACACCAGAGAGCACGTGCCATCACACGCAACATAACTAGTAGTATCTGACCCAACTTGAACTAAACTATTTCGTCAGCTGTTTTGTTCGTATTCCTTCTGGTTAAGGTAAGGTAAGGTAAGGTAAGGTAAGGTAAGGTAAGGTCCGTTACATGTCCGCAGGGGCCGGGTCAACTGAGGTGTTCCATAGGTTCCATTCCATAAGTTAGCCTTATAATTTGCTGCATTCATGCGATCTATGATTCAAAATATTGTCACCTCCATTTTGATTGCGTTATGCAGCTTAAACGTCAGCTGCAATTTTTTCTGTTCATTACATATAGCATGAACTTATGGCATGAGCTGTGACTCATACGCGCGCGCGATCTGCACCGTTCACGCCGACAATTATTCCGATTACCACCACAATGGCTAGCACACGTCACGTGCACTGTCAGTGTTGACGCAGGCACATCGGTGTACGGTACACGTCACGTGACCGGCCGCCGCCGGCCAATGCCGTCGCAGATGGGCTCCGCTGGCGCGCGAACCGCACCGTTCACACCAGCAATGGCTCGGATTTACACCACAATGAACAATGTCATGCGCTGTGACATACACATGCGCGCGATCTGCACCGTTCACGCCGGCAATAGTTCGGATTTACATGACGAACAATGACATGCAGTGCGAATTTTTTCACATACACGGCACAACATGAAATGCACTGCACAGTAAAAGTGCACTAATCAAAGGACATTGCAGTTTCGAGGGTGGGACCAGGTATCACACTGGGGAGGCGTGCTGCCATTGCCGCGGTCGCGTTCACTGCCGCAGGACCTCTCGGTAAACCACGTTGCGCGTGACTGGCATTTCGATGCCGGCAAAGCTGCCCACATGAGACATGAAAACATACAGCTGCCCGTGTGTGAACACGGGAGCGGGAAGGTACACACCCACCCGCTTCTTCGTCTGTCCCCAGCTCCTGTTGTCATTGCGAACGCCACGCTCACGGGGAACTACAGGCGTCGGAATGAGAACACCAGGCCAGAGTCCGGGGTAGACTCGATCGGAATCCGCGGCGCAGCGATCACGTGGCTGCGGTCTGGACCGGTGATATTTTTCAGCTCCAGGACGGCGGCGGACAATGCGACCGTCACGCACAGCGTGCCGATGATCAAGCTGGGTGCGTCGAGATTACGCATGAGGAGGACTGGAGCGCCGGCCTTGAGCCGGATAAAATGTGCTGGCGTGCCAGAAAGCTCGATGCCGATAAGAACCTCGGTGGCCAGCGGCACCGCGTCAGGGTCGGACGTACTGTCTACGCTCGTGTACACGTGCCCCGGCCCCGGCGGACGGTCAATGACGTGGTCATTGATTCTTTTGACGCCGGCATTGAACACGGTGAGGATGGCCCGCTCTTCGAGCCACTCTGTGTCGTCAATGTTTTGCGACAGGTCGGGGTAAATCCGGGCCGCCAACTCAGCCAAGGACCGCGCCGAGCCGCGCACCGCCGGTAGCAGCACGACAGGACATCACAGGTCTTCTGTGTAGGGCCACAGGAGCAGCTGGCTGGACCCCAGCCGGCAGAGAAAACGGGCGTACTCACCCGCCTCGGCGTCCCCCTGCAGCTGCGCGCGCATATTGGTGCGCAGCGTGAGGCACGTCACGTGCTGCCACAGGGGAGACGACTTGAGACACGCGTCGACAATGTGACACCTGCCACCGCCCCTGACAACCGGCAGGATTTGCTGCCAGTCGCCCGCGAAAACGGTGAAGAGATCACCGAACTCCGACTCACGCACGTCACGCAGCGCCGCGTCGACGGCCTTCACTGCCCGCCAGTGCACCATTGCCACCTCATTTCACACCAGCAGCACGCAGCGTCTGAAATCGTCGGCGGCCGGTGAGCTGTTGCGCAGGTCGCAGGTGGACGCGTCGTGCAGGTGGAGTGGGATGTTGAAGCGACAGTGGGCAGTCATGCCGCCATCCGGGAGGCTGTGATGCCGGACGATGCCGGCGATGCCGGCGCCTGGCCGTCAGCCGTCAGCAGCAGATTCTCCAGGAGTGTCTTGTCAGAACCTGCCGGAGAAAGAAATGCATCGCACATGTACACGCACTGCGAACACACATAGCATGGCGAGTGCTTGCGGATTGGTGCATCATGCCGTGCATTTGGCGCCGGCGACGCCGTGGTCCTAGGTGGCGGTGGTGGCGGAGGACACATAGACGGGTCTCTCTGCGAGTCGGAGCGGCCTGAGGGAGCTTCCACACGCCTTGGGGGGGGGGGGGGGAAGGGGTGGGACTACCTCCCCCGTGGGAGCAGACCCGGGGCCCGCACCCAACAGCCAACTGGCTGCCTTCGCCATATTCTGCTCCTAAAGGCATGTACACTCTGCCTCACGCGCCCGTCTCTCCGGCTCATGGCGCTCAAGGTTGTCCAGTTTTCGTCCCATCGTGTCACTCAGTGCTGTAGGACGTGATGCTCCTGGGGATGACGGCTGTGAAGCCGGTGATCGCGTGCTTACCGGCGAAGACCGGGAAGTTCGGCCCCGGCGGACTACGGTCCACTCACTGCTTTCCGCCGATGTGGGGTGAGGCGGCGAGGTCACAACTGGCGAGCTGGCCTGTGTCTCAGAGGGGGCACAGGGTGCCATCGAGATGAGGGACGACAGTGTTGCCGATGCTGTGGCGTGCACCTGAGACGCCGGTACAACCGACAGCACGAACGATGTAAGCAGTTTAATGAACTGCGTTCCAGTCATCTGGTCTAAGGAGACCTCAGGTGGGACAGGAGCCTTAGTCGCTGTGGCATAATGAGATGTTCTTCGTGGTTTTCAGCGCGGTGACCTTGTCCCTGGCGCACGCCGGGCATGCACGATCGAAAGTTAAGTGAGGTTTCTGGTTTTTCCTACAGTTCACACACCATCGGTTCGCTGCAGTGCACTGATCACTCGGGTGCTCCGGAGAAGCACACTTACCACATGCTGGCTGGCTGCGGCAGAAGTCACTCGTATGTCCAAACATTTGGCAATTGAAACATCTCATGGGGTTCGGCATAAAAAGCCGCACCTTCACCTTCACATAGCCTATCCTTACTTCAGATAGAATGTCAGGACGATTAACAGTCAGCGCGATGTTGTTCGTGGGGACCAGCTCCGGACCCCTGCGCACCTTGATGCGGTGAGCATCTGTCACCCAGAACTCAGCGAGGCCGTCGACCATTTCCTCATCACCGACATCATCTCAGGTCAAAACAGTTGACGATACCCTTCGACGAGTTCTTTGTCCTATGGACCTCCACAGCCATCGCCACTGACATGTCCTTTTTCCCCTCCGCATCCCGCACACGGTACACAAATATATCCGAGGTCCTGGCCCGTTTCGCCTCCTCTCCGTGCTGGAACTCAACATCGATTCCACCGTCCTCGAGCTTATCGCATCGGAGCACTATTCAAGTCTTACGTGTTCTGTCTGCCCAGACCAGACACGAGCGCTGGCAACTGCTGGCAAAGCGAGACGGCAACCGTGTTAACCCGCGAGGCGAGCGGGCGGCGCCGACCCCGGTGGGCGGCGCCCCAGGCAGTCACCGCCAGTCGGGGCAGCGGCGTACCCAGGTGCAGCAGCACTGGCGGCGCGAGCAGGGGCGGCCTCAGGCGCACGCCAGTAACATCATGATACATCTCCCCCTTGAGCAAATGCAAATAAATGCTAATACGCTTGCGAAACGAAATTACTGGCGACAGACTGCTGCTTCCCTGCTGCTTCCCTGCTGCTTTCCTGCTGCTTTTCTGCCGCTTCCCATCTGCTTTCCTGCTGCTTCTCTGCTGATTCTCTTTGATGCCTCTCAGAAAACGCGGCCACTGCGTATTTTACGCGGACTGAAACTAAGCAGTGGCGTTGGGTCTTATGTCTGGGCACTTGCGCGCTGCAGGGCTGGGCCGCAGCTTCTGTCAGCGGCCGCAGCTTCTGTCAGCGGCGGCAGCGACGGCGGCGGCGCCGCTGTCGACGCGGGCGACGGCACAGCTGGTGGTGGCCGTGGCACCACCGATCGTGGTGGAGGCGCCGGTCCGCGCGGTTGCGCTTGCAACAGCGCCGGTGGCGCCACCTCAGCATGGCGGCCGGAGAAGAGCTCTGGGGCCGGCACCCTGTGTGCAGAACGGTCAGCACGCCCCTTGGAACCGTGCTGTGTCAAGACCTGAAACGGACGGATCTGCATCAGATGATGTCGGTTGCGACGATAGCGAGCACCCTTGAGCTCCACAAGGTAGCTGCGTCTAGAGAGCTTCTCTATGACGGTGGCGGGCTCGGACCAGCTTGCCTCCTTCTCCGTCTTGACCCGAACATCATCCCCGGGCTGTAGCTGCTGAAGGTCGCGGGCACCGCGTCTCCGGTTGAAGCACGTCTCCAGCTTCTTCTTCCTCTGCCGATCTCGGAGTTTGGCATGCTGCCATGCTTCTCCGGTTGGCTGAGCGATGGGGAAACGAGATTGAAGTTCGCGTCCCATCAGGAGACGGGCTGGGGAGTATCCGGTTGCTTCCACAGGCGTCGTGCGGTAGTTGAGGAGGGCGAGGTGGGAGTCCCTCTGGCGAAGTATCCACTTGGCGGTTCTCACAGCTCGTTCAGCTGCTCCGTTGGAAGACGGCGTGTGCGGGTCTGTGATACGGTTTGCAAAGCCGTAGGACGCTGGAAAGTTGGCCAACGAGCTTGTAGTGAACTGCGTTCCTCCGTCTGTTGTCACGAGGTCTGGTATCCCCAAGCGGGAAAACAGGCGCTTCAGACGCTCGATGACTGCGCTACTGGTGAGACTCGGGAGGCGTTGTATCTCCAAACACCTGCTGAAGATGTCCACCGTGACGAGCCAGTTGCAGTTGTTGAAGTGGAAGACGTCTGCTGCAACGTGCGTCCACGGTCTTGATGGCGTTGGGGTTGTCACCAGTGGCTCAGCGTGCTGGGCGGGCGCGTTCACCTGACAGAACGAGTAGCCCTCAAGATGACGCTTCAGGTCGATGCTGAGTTGAGGCCACCATATCGATACTGCTGCCCTCTGGCGACACTTGCTTAGACCGAAGCGTCCGTCATCATGTAATCGAGTGAGCATTTCATCTCGCAGACCCGAAAGGATGACGATGCGTCGCCCGTGCATCAGCAGTGTACCACACGTTAGGTACAGAACGCTCATCTCTCCCCGAGAGGCGAAGTAGTCCAGCAGGTCGGGATGCTTCGCTCCCTCCTTCCAGTCAGAGAGAGTCTGCTGAACTTCGCGCTGTAGGGGTTCGTCCGCTTGCCGCGCCTTGCTGATCTCCACCAGACGCTGCGGTGTGAAGGGAAGATCGCTGAAGATTCTCTCGCAGAATCCATGTATGTCTTCTTGAAGCACGGCGCTTGTTTCATCCTGCTTCTGGAGCGGGTGACGTGAGAGGAAGTCGGGCATCAGGTGCTGCTTCCCTGGAACGAAGACTGCTGTGGCGTTGTATCGCATCAAGCGCATGAGCATGCGCTGGCATCTGATAGACGCATCCACGAGATGTTTCGTGTTAACCAGCGGGATCAGAGGCTTGTGGTCCAGATGCAGCTCGAACGACGGCAGTCGGGACAGGAACATGTGCATTTTCTCGCACGTCCACGTTGCGGAGAGTAGTTCCCTCTCGATCTGGGCCCATCTGGTCTCGGTGTCAGTCAGGCTTCTGCTGCAGAACGCGACGGGTTTGAAGACGGAGCCGCGCTTCTGGAGGACACATCCTCCGATGCCGAATCAGCTGGCGTCGGCGCTGACCACCGTCTCTCGTGCTGGATCGTAGAACGCCAGAACTGGAGCTGAAGTGACGGCTGCTTTCACGTCATCCAGCGCCTGCTGCTGCTGTGGTGTCCAGAGCCATGCTACGTTATTCCTCAGAAGCTCGTTCAGTGGTCTCAAGCACTCCTGGATGTGTGGAATGAACCAGCCCAGGAAGTTGATTACTCCGAACAGAGACATTAATTCATTGACATTCTTTGGCGGTTGGAGCTGCTGGATCGCTTCGAGCTTCTCTTCGTCCATGCTGATACCGTTTTTGCTGATCTTCATCCCCAAAAACTTGACCTCGTTCTTCCGTAACTCACACTTTTTCCTGTTCAGCTTGAGGTCAGACTCGTGGATCCTCCTGATGACGGCTTCGAGACGTGCATCGTGACTGGCAGCATCTCCGGACACCACGGTGTCGTCCATGTAGACGATGACTCCGGGGAGTCCGTCCAGCCTCTCCATCTCCCACTGGAAGCACTCCGGTGCGAGCGAGATCCCCATCGGCAGTCGCAGGAACCTCTTCCTGCCGAACGGAGTGATAAACGTGGTCATCTTGGAGCTTGCCTCGTCCAGCGGGATCTGGTAGAAACCGGAAGAGGCGTCTAGCTTGGTGAAGAGCGTCGCGCCACTCAGCTTGGAGGTCAGCTGCTCCAGAGTAGGGACCGGGAACACCTGTCGCTTCACAGACTGGTCGAGTCTCTTGCAGCCAACCGTGATGCGGACATCGCTACTCTTCGGCTTCGGGACGGGGACCAGCGCAGAAACCCAGTCCGTTGGCTCGGTCTCCGACGTGATGATGCCGTGATGCTGTATCTTCTTCAGCTCCTCTTCCACCGGCTTAATCTGTGGCAGCGGGATGTTTCTTGCAGTGGCAAGGGCGACTGGAACAGCATCTTCACGGAGCTGAATGCTGACCGGTGCTGCCTTCAGGAGGCCTGCCTCTCCGAAGACGTCTTCGTTGACTTCACCTGTGAACCTCAGTACGCCCATGCGCGAGCCAGCAGACCTGGAGAGGAGATCATCAGCTGAGTCAACAACGTAGAACACTTCAGGCTCGGCTTTGTTCTT